ACACACACACACACACACACACACACACACACACACTCGTGCGCACACATATGTACAAAACAAAATAATATATGTACATATTCAACGATGAAGCAATTACTCTCCAGGGAAACATCAACCTGTTGTCAATAGCCGCAGCCTCCTAAATGCTGAAATGATCCAATTCCTTGTAGAATAAAAATTGGATTTTGAAATAATTGACAAGTCAAAAAGTGAATTTGCACAATCTTGGCGTTGCCCTAAAATGCTGACTTCATTTACTCTAGATGCTTTATTTAGTGTTTTATGCTTTTCATTGATTAATCATAAGAAATATTATACATAGAATAATGACGTGTTAAGTAATGTTGTTTTTTAAAACTTTCAACCTGTGTTTTATCTTCATAAGGCATTATTATATGGGCAATTCATACAAAATGAATTCATATCATAAATGCATTGTTTGTACTTGTTATTTGACATTCAACAAGATTTATGACACACACACTCGTGCGCACACATATGTACAAAACAAAATAATATATGTACATATTCAACGATGAAGCAATTACTCTCCAGGGAAACATCAACCTGTTGTCAATAGCCGCAGCCTCCTAAATGCTGAAATGATCCAATTCCTTGTAGAATAAAAATTGGATTTTGAAATAATTGACAAGTCAAAAAGTGAATTTGCACAATCTTGGCGTTGCCCTAAAATGCTGACTTCATTTACTCTAGATGCTTTATTTAGTGTTTTATGCTTTTCATTGATTAATCATAAGAAATATTATACATAGAATAATGACGTGTTAAGTAATGTTGTTTTTTAAAACTTTCAACCTGTGTTTTATCTTCATAAGGCATTATTATATGGGCAATTCATACAAAATGAATTCATATCATAAATGCATTGTTTGTACTTGTTATTTGACATTCAACAAGATTTATGTTTGTTTTATAGTAAATCTTTTAACCCAAAAAAAAAAAAAAAATGTTTAACTACATATTTTATGCGAATAATGGCTTTTTAAGCTATATAGACCATGTTTAATTGCCATGGCAGCAGACACTGGAAAAGTGTGTATTCCATTTCAAAATAATATTTCCATTGAACCATTGAACAGTTGCTTCTTGTGTGCATGAAGGCTCTAATGTGATGGAGGCTGAGAAGGCTGCTGGGGATGATGATGAGGATGAGGATGGTGGTCGTGGTGGCAGCGGTGCATTGAAAATGTCCAACGGGGCCCTGTGATTGGTCGGCGGCTCTGCAGGCTGAGCCCACTGGCTTTGAGTGCGAAAAGGAGAAGGCCGCGGCAGCCTATGGGAACGCGGGTCTGCCTCCTCCCACGACGTGTGCACCAAAGTTGCCCACTTCAACTACTTCCACGCAACCAGCAGACATTACACTCACGCCAAATGTACCAACGGGACAGGAGGGCCTGCTTTTGCCAAACCCCAAATCGCTTTCTTGACTCATGAGAATTATTTTGTAAAGACCAATTGCTGTTTTCCTTTGAATTACTGCCACCCCCCTCTCTCATCTTATGTGAACCTCGCGTGAACCCCACCTGGCATTGGAATTTCGCTGCATAGTTTTTGATTTTGAAGATTTTTTTAACCCACCCTCCCACCCTCTAAGACGTTTTGGACTTTGTGAAAGCAACTTCCAGGCCTTCCTGTTTGGTTTTTTTTTTGTGTGGCGGTGCTGCTGAGCGAGTAGCTGCAGGATGGCTACTTTACCCGGAACAGTGCCTCGGATGGTGCGCCCCACGCCGGGTCAAAACTACCCTCGGACCGGCTTCCCTCTGGAAGGTGAGCGGACATGGAGATTTTTTGGGGTGTTTCGCGAAAATTTGCGTGAAGGTCACACGTTTGCAGTTATTAAGACTGGAGTAAAATTAAAAGAAGAACGAAAGAAAGAAAGAAAGAAAGAAAGAAAGAAAGAAAGAAAGAAATATATATATATATATATATGTTTCTGTATGTTTACAAGTTTTTACGCGAGTACATGAAGGTCACGTGTTTAATTAAGGGTAGTGCAAAAAGGAAACAAATTACAATACATGTTTGTATTTCAAACAAAACATAAAACAAATCTATTGTATTCCATATTTCCTTACAAATTACAATACATGTTTGTATTTCAAACAAAACAAATCTATTGTATTCCATATTTCCTTTAATGCTGATATCATTTGACCATTTATCTCATGTCCATAAAGGCCTTGTCTATCCCCATAAAAGTATTTTTTTATCATGAACTTGATAAATTAGTACTGCATGTTTTGCAAAAAAAAGGTGAAAAATGATTATGTAATTTAATATTTCAAAAATGGTAAAAACATTTTTTAAATGAAAAAAAAATTGCTTACAATCATAACAAAAATCGGCTTTTGATGTTTTTTCTTATACTGTTCATATGGATTTTGTGTGAGGGATCACAAATGAGCATTTTTTTTTGGGACACATCAGTCTATTTTGGGGGTGGCATGTGCCTGAATGTCATGTTTTTTTTTTAACTGTTTGGATTATAATTTCAAGTAAGTAATCTTCATCCGTCCTATTTTTTTTTAAATCGTGGATCAATTTTAAAACAACAACGATTATGTTATATAATATTCATCTATTTCGTCCAAAAACTAGCATTTGAACTGACCCCAAATGGCCATGTTTTTCTGTCGTAGATTTGTCGTAAGCACCAATCACAATAAGTGTCGGTTTTAATAACATTAAAAGAAACACATTACCGCCAAAAGAGGCAATCTAATTGTTAATTTGGCGACAGCATACGACCGTGGGGCGATGAGGAGGATGCGTGTGAAGACCACTTTTTATATTTGCATGCATTTATGGCAATCGTTTTCCCATTAGGGCCGCGTTCGTGCTCAAGTGGCGAAGGGAAACACACGCGCGCACACACACACATCCACACGCGCGTCTGGCTTTGCAAGTTGGTCGTGGATTTGCTCAAGAGGGCCGCTGCAGCAAATGGCAAATAAGCCACGGGAGAAACGTTGGAGGATCACATCAATATTTGGACAGCATGACTAGGAATAATCAAGGTGGCAAAGTGTCATCCTCTTCTCTGGCTCTCCACTCGTGGAAGTGGCGCGCGTGGAGTGCGCTCGGGTGCATGCATGTAGCGTGACACGCCGAATCTGTGCCTAAAATTAAAAAAGGAAATTAAACAAGCGAGGTGGGGTTTTTTTTCTGTTTTTGTGCTGTTTTATTTTATTTTATTGACATCAGTGTGTTGTTGCCCACGCAGTCTCCACCCCACTGGGCCAGGGTCGGGTCAACCAGCTGGGCGGCGTGTTCATCAACGGGAGACCCCTGCCCAACCATATTCGCCACAAGATCGTGGAGATGGCCCACCACGGCATCCGGCCGTGCGTCATCTCGCGACAACTGCGCGTCTCGCACGGCTGCGTGTCCAAAATCCTGTGCCGCTACCAGGAGACCGGCTCCATCCGCCCGGGGGCCATCGGGGGCAGCAAGCCCAGGGTGAGTGTGCGGAGGAGGGCGGGGATACGAATCCATCGAGGAATGCGTGCACTCAGCGGACACAATATTAAGTACACCTGCGCGCATCCAATTCAATAGTATTACCAACATTATGACCATAGTAACCAGTGACGTCAGGATTGATCAGCCTTTATCCACGCCATATAGTGGTGCAAATAATAAGGGGACAACCGTAAACATCCCCCTCCACGTTTTGTAATATTTTTCACACATTTGCTTGTGTAATTCGTTTGTTGAGACCGGCCATAACATTAGGTACACCAGCAAGCTACAACAGCATTAAAAAAAAAAAAAAAAATCAAGAATTTCGCTCCTTCGCAGCCTGCTTGTTATTTATTCGTCCTAAACATAACACAGATCAGAAATATTCAGTCGTACATATATTTTAAATGGCACTCCAATGGCATCCCATGCAACAGAATATCTTTGGTGTCACCATGTACAATGAGAATAAAAAAATAGAGTCGGAATCATTACGATTATAATTGCATCCTTATTGCAACTTTCTTTCCCTGGCTCGTTTTTATTCACCCTATCTATATATTGGTGTACTAAAAAGTAATAACAGTTTGCATTTATCTAGTCACTGTCAATATCGTTGGGCACATTTGCACAACGTGATACGTGCACGTCTACGGTCAAATATGACACTTTGTGTTCTTAAAAAAAATATTGAATCAAGAATTAAAATTATCTATTTGATGACTTTGTGTGCTCATTTTAATTTTCGTATTTTAAGAATGTCATTGGTTAAATATTGCTCTGGTGGCAAAAGTCAAGCTCATATATAATAGTTGTTATTATATTATGTAGTCACCAGTAATAATATTAGATACACCCACACAATTTAATAATCGTAGCCATCAGCTAAAAAGGGTGTTCCTAATATGCATATGTGTATATTTTCCTTTGTTGTAATGAATGATATCTGTATAATTCTCCATTTGCATGAAGAAAAGTGAGTGATAGTGCATTACTTAATTAAATGTTTAACTGAAATGACTCACTTTGAAAAGTGTTTTGACGCTCATTCATAAATATACTGTTTTTTAAAAAAAGTTGTGTGAACACAAATTTCAAGGAAATAAAACGATAAAAATTTAATGTTTGGTGTTTTTTGAATGGGAAAATGTTTTCGTACATGTTCAACAAAGAATAAAGCTAGAAGCAAAAAAAAAAAAAACAACTCCACAAATTTATTAGGGACAAACATCTTTCTTGTTTTCGTTGTGCTAACTCACATTGTTGCCATCAATGTCAATCATTTATATTTTAAAGTTGTTCTGAGATAAATTCGTTTTTTTAGCCTCCCCCACAAAAAAAAAATCCTTTTTTTTTTCAGTGTATGAATCCATATCCCACCATGAAATGGCTCCAATTAAATTGCTCCCCACCCCCACCCTTCTGTCCATGCAACTTGCAGCAGGTGGCCACTCCCGACGTGGAGAAGAGGATCGAGGAGTACAAGCGAGAGAACCCGGGCATGTTCAGCTGGGAGATCCGGGATAAGCTGCTGAAGGACGGGGTGTGCGACAGAAGCACAGTTCCTTCAGGTGAGGCTTCATCTGGTAAGCTGCAATTCTTCTTTTAATAACCTTATCATAGGAGCCTACAAGTGCAGCATCGCTTGTCGTCATAACTGCTTGATGAAAAGAAAAAAAAAGAGGAGAAAAAAATATACCTACAAAATATGCTTGACTTTTGTTTAGTGTCCTTCTTCAAATGAGATGATCTGGTTGTGTTGTGGGTTTGAAAAGGGCTAATCACCCATTTACCTTCTTGTTGCCATTAGTGAGCTCCATCAGCCGCGTTTTGAGGGCCCGATTTGGCAAAAAAGATGACGAGGATGACTGTGATAAGAAGGATGAAGACGGAGAAAAGAAAACAAAGCATAGCATCGATGGCATCCTCGGTGATAAATGTAAGTTAGCAACCTTATGGGCCCTTAATGGCTTCTCTATCCACCACTTGCATGTCTTGTCAGCCTCCTCCTGGCTCGGAAGGGGAAGATTTGCCCAAATATGTCCAAATGCACTTCCTCCGAGGCGTCCTCGTGGGACTTGATTCCTTTGCTCATTCACTCCATTATTTATGAGAGCCTTGGCACGGAAGGTATTTAGCGGCAGGAAATTAATTTGTGTTGGCCAATTGCGCCTCATTCATTCACACGGTCAGCCATTCATCGCGGTGTGCTGCTTTGACCCCCACCACCCCCCACCCCTCCCCTCGCAAAGAAAGCACCCCCCCACCCCTCCAAACGGCTGCTGACCCAAGGTCACATTTTCACCACTTGTTACTTTTGAATGGACGGTTAGTTGGTCGTTTGTAGTTCATAAAAATTCTTCCATTTATAATGTAGCTGCATGTTTTTTCTCCATTAAATTCGCAGTAAAATGCACTTTTGAGACATTTATAGGGGAAGTCGATTTAGTAAATTAAATTGAAATGGAAGGGAGCGTTATCACAGCCAATCTGTGGACAAAAGTACTGTAATGACAGTTATTTAAGAACACTGGAAATATAAATAATGTCATTGGCACATTTTTTGTATTATATTTTCCATCTGACCAAAAGTAGACATCGTTGTCATATTTTGTAACATTAATTGTAAAGAAATTTGGACCTGGAACATATGCGCATAATTATTCAATTTGAATCGCCCAAAAATGCCTATCAACAAAGAAATGTGCTGCACACAAAATATCCTGAATATGTATTTTAATTTTCAATGATTTCGACCGTGTTTTTTTTTTTCTGGTCACTCCGGCGTAATTAAGCAAACGTCCTAAATTTGGACCTGATAACATACGCAGAGGAGTTGCATTAAAATGTATTCCTCATTATGAAAACAGGCAATCTAATGAAATCTTTTTTAAGTGTAGGAAATGACTACAATTAAAATGATCATAAAGACATAGAATAACTACAATACAATTTTTAAATCTTTCATGCAGAATATTTTTTTCCGTCGTCTTTGCATTTTCAATCGGCTTCACACGTGCGTAATTACGCAAACCCAAAGCATGCACCAGGAGTCTGCACGTTTCGGGACTGGATTTCAATATAATGCGAATAACAATAAAGGCCAAGCAACTACACTCCCCTTTTCAACTTGGAGATGACCCTCAACAAACCTCCCTTCCATTGATATTTTTTCTTTTTCCACGGAGCCACAAAAAAAAGCAAAATCCTGGAAAGCAGAATAGCGAGAATCGCCGCACCGCATGGCACGTCTAAGCTCCTTCAAACAAACGCCAGGAAACTTTGCACAAAAGCAGCAAGGGGGACCCATAAAAAGGAGATAAATTATTCAACACGCCCCGCTGTTAGATAGTTCTGTAATTTCATATATTGGGCCGATGGAGTGGAATCAGTTGATGGCGTGAAAACGCTCGCTATTTAACACCCGGCCCCCCCGCCCCACCGTCCGGTCCCCCTGCCACGCCGCGCTCCACGATGACAGATTCTGCTCCAAGTGTCCACATGCTCGCTTGACCACGTGTATTTCCAATTCCCTTGGCTGCTGTATTGTCCCCGTTGTGCATACGTGTGTTTTGAAATCAGAAGAGAGAATTAGGTGGCTATAAAAAGCAGACGAAATGGCTTTTAATAAGAATCATAATGTTAATACTTATTAGCGGGGAGCAGCGGAGACGAAGCTCGCCTGAATAGGTGACGACGTGTTCACACCGGCTGTAATCGCTGGCAGGCACGCTCTCAAATGTATTTATCCCCAATCAGCCGCTCACTCCGGCGGCGCGCGGCGCGGCCCCCTTCTATGAGCGAAGAGGGGCTTTCAAGCAGATTAAACGCAGCCTTTTATTTCTTTTCACTTTCATCTCAGAGCCGAGCTCACATCGTGGCTCGCCCTGGGCGCAAAACATTCACGAGGGCTCTTTTTTTTCCCCCATCCACTTCTCGCTCTCACTATTTTATTATATATATTTTTTTGATAGGGGGGTGGCGTGGGGGGGGGGTCGTCTCCAGATTTTAAATTGGTTTTATTTATTTATGGAGTTGTTTGTTGTGCGTGTTCTAGAGGTTACATCACGGAATTATCCCAACTCTAATCTGGAGTTCATTAAAAATGGCGGCTCAAACTGCTAACCACATGACCGTCTTGTCATTCTCTTTTAATGACAGATCAGAGGGTGGAAAGCGGAGCTGTGCAAAATATGGTTTCGGGGCCATTTGCACGCCCAAAAGTTATTGTTATTATTATTTTTTTCTAATAGGCCCGAGGATTTCCTGTAAAATATAATTCACAAAATAATCATAACATTAAGCAGGAAACAAAAACATTTTGCGATGCTGGAGAAAAATGTCATAATGCACTGAAATGCAGTTTTACAACACAAACACAAAGCACAGATGCAGGCCTGTTTAATCCCTGAAAATGATATGCGACTGGGTTTTCCTGTGTGTAAAAAAAAAAAAAATGGTGTGATGTATTTAATATTTTAGTTGTCTTTATTGCACAGCAGCACACTATGTCGATAAAAAAGTCGTTAAAATATATATTTACTCTCTAAAAATGATCTACTGTTTATAATGATTGAAAAATTATTCCATCTATTGTCTTTATCAGGTAAAAAAAAATGACAAATCTGAGACGTGAATTTATGCGGCACGTAACTGCTTGAAAATGTCCCTCCTCCTTTTTTTTGGTTTAATTTTTAAAAGTATTTATTGGTTATGATATCACCTTCCCTGCACATCAAAAGATACGAAAAAAGAATAAAACATGAAATAATAACGAAACTACAATTAGACTAAACATCAAGAGTCACGTTATTACATGCCCCCCCTTACTATATATATTGAACATATTCAATAATGAAATATCTCATAATTTCCATTATTTAATTATATTATTTTGCCGTGCACATCATGTTTTTTATGTAGTATATTCATATGTAGTATATTATGACAAAACTGATTTAGAAAAAAAACACTACTTGAAAAAAGGCATTTTTATGCTGTTCACATTACAATATTACAATGTCGTGCAGCAGAAAGTCCTCTTTTATTATCATTGTTATTTTTACTGCTATTTGTTACAGTTATGATTGCACGATGCACATCTGCCATCCGCGCAAGTGACGCACGCGGCGACAGGCGATGGACACTCGAGCAAATCGCGGGATTAGCAGAGGTCCTCAATGTAATTAAACAGATGCCAGGTGGGATTATTTCCCAGTTTGAGGGAGGGCAAGTGACAGAAAGGTGCGAGGGGTGGGCTGGGTAGCACACCGGCATGGTTGAAATTTAATTGGGGGGTGGCACAAAGTATTATTTGATTGCGGGCCGTCCTTTTTTCGCATCAGCTTCCCTTTCTAAACGTCAACATTGGCTATATTTTGAATGAATGGAGAAGGATGATAAACGTCAACATTGGCTATATTTTGAATGAATGGAAAAGGATGATGGGTGTATTTGTGTGTGTGTATGTGTGTGTGTGTGGTGGAGGGGAGTGGGCACATGCAGGGGTTTTGGTGGTTGGGGGGGACTGGAGCGCACTTCAAACAAATCCATCTGGAACAGTGTGTGAGAGAGATTCAGTGAAAGTATGGGCGAGTTATTTAGCTATTAATAACGTTTTCTTTCCTCGGGCGCGGAGGAAGGAGAGAGAGAGAGAGAGAGAGAGAGAGAGAGAGAGAGAGAGAGAGAGAGAGAGAGAGCACAACTTCATCCTCGCGAGCTATTTGGCTTGGCTGGGAACGGAGAGGGGAGAGCACCCAAATGGTGGGCAGAGATAACATACCCATCATAGCGCCGACCCCGCGCTGTGCTTCACTGCATTAAACTCGGATTAACCTCCCCTGGCCCCGCGCACACACTCAAGTCACTTCGCACAGGAATTTACATCGCACCATGCGGTGACACCAGACACCGAATAATCATAATAAGCACAACAACGACAGCAGAAGAAATAATAATAATAATAAAAACAATAATAATAATTCTTTCTACACAAGACGATTCGATACATACAATAGATTGATGTAACGATTTTGAAATGCAACGATGCATGTGACTTTACGCGTAGATTCGATGTCGTGTGGCTGTAGCTTTTGCCCATGTTTATTAACATGCAACAACTTGAAAAAGCTCTCCAAAGGCCGAACCATCCAATTTAATTTAATTCAAAGAAACAACAAATCAGCAGCCTCTTGAAACTGTCACAACGTGACAGAAACTGATTTATAGCTGCTGTTTGTCTTCTTTTTCAAGACGATTCGATCTGATTCTTCGATACACGGGGTGCGATTTGATTCAGCAGCGCAGAGATTTGAAAATGTTACAATTCCATTCGGTTTGTCAAATCAAAACGATTTTTTTGATTCAAGTCATTTTTTTACACCCAATACATGCACTGCTCAGTATTGAAAAAAAAAGAGATACTAGGTACACAGTCAGAAATATTCATTTTATATTCATTGTACATTAACATTATACATTAATATATAAACCCATACACCTGCATTTTTAAAGGTACAATGTGTTCAGCATATCAATATATTGTATACATTATTCATACATCATGCAATATTTAAATATTCACACTAATCCATGAAATGTTTCATTTTACCAGAAGTGAATGTATGGAATGTTGCAGTTTCACTTTTTGAACGGAACTACAGAACTTCAGTCATAATTAAATTTATTCACACGCACCTGTATGTTTTTCACTCCCTTCATATCGGTAATTAAAGTTTCCAACCACACCCAAATGCAAGAACTTTTTCTCACGTCAAACCACTGCTGCAATAATAAATATTCCTTTCAGCTAATTGTACGGTAACATGTACCGATGACAATCATTAATATCTTTCTGACAATGGTAATCAAGCCTACGTTCTTATTTTTGATGTATCTATATTTTCCAGTACATAAACTAAAATGAAAAGATTGTAGTTT